TGGTGGGAAATGGCAGAGTTGTCAGGGTGATGTTTAAACTCGACACTATGGAAATAAAAGCCATTTCTCAGCAAATGACCGAACCACATATATTGCAAAGTGGTAACATGGGATTCGGGTGTTTTTTTTGGGTCCCTCAATAACTCACTGACAGAGTGCTGTGGAGAAGAGGATTATCTTCACTCTTCACTGTGCAAGCCCACTCTCTTCAGCCAGGAACCCATCAATCCCCGAGCCGGCAGAGCAGCACACAATAACAGCTATTCTGGATGGATTAGCTGGAAAAGTCCCAGAAGGCATGCGATCGGGATATAGAGCAGCAGGTGGAATAGTGGTTAAGGTAAGATCCAGGTTTCTGTTGTGACAAAAGCATTTAAACTTAAAGACGATTGAATCCATATGGTTTGTGTATCACTTTGGATAAAAATCATTTACTCCAGCCAGCATAGTGCATTTACTCAAAACAGGCGATCTTGCAGGTGCCAAAATTGCACGTTCGGACTGCAGGAAGAAGCAGCTTGGACACAGGGGGGGGCAAACATTGCTGCATTTCTCTCTGCAGCATAATTATGACGGTGCTGCATTGTTCTCCTGGGGGGGGGTCACAGCCTGCTGACCAGGGTGCAAGCAGCACTCTGCCATCCAAGGGCTACTTTAATCCAGCTGAGGCAAGCAACCTTTGGAAGGGAAAGCAGGTCCTCAGAGACCAGCACTGAGCTGATTCACCCAGCAAGTCAGCACAGACAATAGAGCGAAGCCCCAGACACACTGAAGTCTACACACCTGACATTAAATGATGCTTTATTTACCATTTACCATTTGCACAAGAACATTGGAGTGCTTCTTTGCACATATCCCAGCATGCTCTCCTTTGACACATACAGCTTGGGGTCCAAGTGCAAGGGTCAGCTCATTTACCCAGCACCCTAGAGCATTACGGGCAGATTAAAGGCCTTGCTCAAGGGTCCAAAGGAGATGTAACTATTCTGCTAAGGTTGAGGCTTGAACAACCAACCTTCCAGTTGCAGGGCATAGAGGGACCATTGCTAAGTCAGCGCCCCCTCAGAAATTGGTGTTCTAGGCAGTTGCCTGTGTCATCTAACGCATTGACTGGCACTGCACATCAGAGAGGGTGAGCTTTACGTCCAGCTCGCACATCCTCTCTTCCCTTTCCGGCATTTTCTTAATCCCAGTTACCTGCTGACAGACCTAAAGAGGCTCTTTCTTCCTGACATCATTCCAGCGAGCAGAGGACATTAAAAGCGCTTTGCTCCTAGAAGTGATACAAAGTCATACTACTACGCGAAGTACCAGAACAGGGATCCCTGGAAGCAGGGGAAGCAAATAGTGGCTATATTTGGCTTTTTCAATTCCAGTTCTGAGGAAAGATGGAGTTCAAGGTGAGAGTAAAGAGGTACTACAATGGCCTTTCGTTTGCTTTGTTTTACATTCGGTTTATTCATTTGCACCTTGGGTGGAAGCCACATACACTACCCAACGTCAAAAGGACAACTCGAGGGCAGGACACTGCACCACCCACACACATTCCAGCCAAATTAAGCTATTTTTAATTAAACGGCAAAGACTGTACCCCCAAGAAGGAAGACTGGTGTAAAAAGCCAAAGCAGTGAATCAAACCGACTACCAACCTGTGACTGGGAACTCCAAAGGTATAGTTTGTGTAATAGCGTCTAACACAGTATGTAGCATAAAGCATAATAGAGGTCAATAGAGAGACCACAATCTACCCTAAATCTACCCCACAGCTGTGAAACAGCCCAATGTGGAAGGTTTAATTGGATTTCACCGTGTAATCGGCCTGCCCAAGCATAAAATAGCAGTGTCCCTGATGGGGAGAGGCAACAGGCAACCAGCTGGAGTGAACATAACTTATGACCTTGCCCTAAACTGCCTGCTGCCCTCTAGTGACAGAAAAATGCCCAGACGGGCAGGAGCAGATCAGTCAGTGTGGACACATGGCTTTGGGTACCTTCTTCTATGCCAGCAGTCTGCTCCCCCCAAATGATCAGAAAATGGAGCCAAGGTCTGAAAAAATAAAACAAGGATTTGAAACCCATGGAGGGTGGAATTAACCTTTGAACTTGAACTTTATTGGTTGCCGTTGGTTTAAGATGTTGGTCATTGGCAGCATGTAGTAGTCCCACCCAGCATATGTTTTCAAGCCTTCTAGCATGATTAGGGGAGGGGACTCTTGATCAGAGGATGATATCATAGGCATCCATGTCGCAATGAACGGATGAGTTTGGGTGGGCGTGGCTTTCAAGAGGTGGGTGTGGCTTTCCAGTGGTTTCACATCATTTCACACCTGCCTTTCAAAGGCCACACGGCGAGACTGTTTAGGTAGGATTAAGACAGTCAGAGACCTAAAGCTAAACATCCACTCGGCCACTTCCCCACCCCCCCCCCCAGTCCCCACCAACTCATAACTGTCCCCCCGCCGTCTCTCCAACTCCGGGCATCCACACAAAGTGCAGGCTGTGCCTCCTCGCCTCTGAAGAAGGCTGGGCGGGTTTGGGGAGGCAGGGTCCAAAGTAACGGCCATCCTCTCTCTGTTCAGCACCATGCAGCTTTGGACCTGTGCTGCCAGACCACACGCCTGCCAGGGTCACAGACTGAAGCCCCCCTGTTCCTCCCCGACCACAGATGTCCTCACGGGACAATGGGCCTGGCTGCCTCTTCAGAGGCAAAACTAAAAAAAAAAGCTGCAAAACCAGAAAGATACAAACTCCTTTTCGTTTCCACAAGCAGTGACCCTGCCTCCGAGTTTCACTGCCTCCTCAGAGCATCCAATCTTACTGTCGCTTCACTTTTACTGGAAGTTGCATCTGAATTATAACGTCTGAATATTCACTAGAGCTGTGAACTCACCACCTGCTTACATATGCCCCCAAAACATCAGTCACTTAGATTATATAATTTAATCCTCATTAAGTCTGCTGCACAGGCACTAAAAGGTAAAGCTTCTAAAGATTCTCCCAGGAAGCCTATTAGCTTTGTAGATGCCTTTCTTTCTGCTTAAGATACCTTGCACTTGATTAAAGAAGAAGCGTAATGAAATGCATAGCACTGCCGAGAGTGAAAGTGATAATAAAACATATTGATCGATTGCCACCTCAACGTCTACGCCCCGTCTGGCACTGGTGGCCAGTGGATCCGTACGCAGTAAGTTCACATTGGTGGACACTAGGACCCAGGTGAACGGGGAAACCTGCAGGCTGTCCTCGAGGCTGACATTCCGCAATCGCGCAGACGGGGTGTTTTTTTTAGGGTGTGTGAGCTCAGCCAAGACACAAATCCCTGCACCTCCGTCACCAAGGTGGGTCGTGGAGGTGTCGAGGGAGCGACGGCAGGAAACCAGTACTGGCAGGAAACCAATGCTGGCATGAAACGACCATAGCATAGCAATGGCCATAATGCGGACCCCAGAATTCCCACCGTGTCCAGGGGCGGGAGCTGGACAAACAGGTACTCTGTCAAGGAGGACGTTAATAAAAACTGAGGAAACATATCACTGATCACAGACCAGTCAAGGAACTGACAGTTACACACTGCTCTCTGCAAGCAGCGTGGATTAACTGTCACCCAAAGAAATTAATTCACCGACTCGCTATACGTGAATGCCCCTAACATAAATTATTACTGCCAAACATCTTACATCACACATGGTTCAGTGTAAGCTACCCCAGTTAGAGGGTTTAATTTTGTGAGTAGTACGAAGACTGACCCTAACCAACTCCTCAGCCCTCCCCAGAAAGTGGCAGAGAGCCCTCCAGGCAAAGGAGGGTGTCTAAGGGAGGTGATTAAGTAGGGACCCATCAGCGCCCTGGGGGGGTTGGAGACTGCATTCAAGTGAACAACCATCTTGAACTTGAGCCTCAAAACGTTTAGGTGCACCTTCATCTGACATCATGACAGGACCCGCCCTTACCAGCCAGAATCATGAAGTTCCCTTGCATGGATAGTGGCAAACAAGGTGTGCCATTTTTAAAATCATGTTAATGATCAAAATAATGTTGGTGTGATGTCTGGTGAGGCCCAATCCCGTGTGTGCAAAATCAGTAAAATGACGACCTGGCGCTACGTGTGGCTTTGTTTTCTCTCCTTTCCTCAGGGGAATAAACGGCCCATACCAGTGTCATCAAAATTCTCGGCTGATACGGGAAAAATATTGAATTTGCGAGTAAAGAAATGCTGTCAGCTTTTGCAATAATCTAATGCAAATATTAATCGCTGCTGGCTATTCTAAACCATAAATGTTATAAACTTGGCGCCAAGAAAAAGTCACCTTGGGCGGCTATGTGTGCTCTGCTGATTTTTTATTATAAAACACGATTGCATGCATTTTGCTGGGAGGAAAACAGCCGTGTCCTTTCCGTAAGGCGCGTGCTGCTCACCCATCGCTAAGCGGGCACACGCATGATACATGTTTGCAGATCCTCGATCACGGATGCTGGCATCCCACAGCCTGTCACCCAGAGATCCGCATGCTCCTGCATGCTACCAACTATGCGGACAATCCAGATCACCTGGCCACGCCAAGATGCATAACGTACGCCTTACAGGGGGCTACTGGAGCGATAGCGCATGGATGGGACCGCCGATACCCCCCAATCCCAGTCACCCAAAACGACAGATCTAGCGCATATTTCTATAAGCAAGCCGGGTGCGTTTTCATATACACGCGTTTATCCGATCCAGCTGATCCGGTGACCGTTAGACACAGACGACAACTGTCGCCCAAGGTGTGACTTCACATTCTCACTTCTTAAAAACGGAAGGTAGCACGAAAATGCGTGTGATAGAAACCAATCAATACTTAAATTTTTAGTCCCACGTTTTCGGAACACACGTTAACCAGCTGCAAATCGTTAACCACTTGTGTTAGAACTGAGTTTGTGCTTCTTGATTTGAATGCACGATTGTCACGGTTTGCTGTACACGGAATAAATAAATTATATAAAATATAAACCATACTGTACCTCAGCAAAGAAGGCATCCATTCCCAGCTGTTCCGCTTCCAAAGGGCTGTCGCTCCGGTAATCACACGGTAACAATACCAAGGTTTTTGCGCTGAATGGTGATATTACAGTGCAGCTTGCAGGCGCTTTCCATTCACGACCCTAACACAGACGGCTTGCCATCCGCATTCCCTTCAGTTGGATCGGCAGCCTAAGAAATAGGGCGAGTTGCAGAACGCTGCACTTTATAAGAGGACAACCGCAATTTGCGTGACCGCTGTCTTCTTATCCCTGTGGCGACCGAAGAAAAATGAACACATTCGTTAGTCCACAGCAAACCTCCTTTCCCGCACCTTTTCATTAACAGTGCACCACTGTAGATCCAGCGTGTATTACTTAGAAACGGTTCACTGAAGGTTTAGTATAAAAGGGCGGAGATTCACGTAAAAACCCCGCCCCGGCCGCTCCCACCGCCCCCCACGCAACATTAACATCATCTTATGACAGGATTATGTATATTTCTTTACACAATTTTAGCAACATTTTAGTAATGCTGTTTTTTTTATAGCTATGACGTTCATGTTTCGTTCTTAGCACACTAGTCCCTACAAGTAGGCTAATAGAAGAGTTTCCAGGTATGTTAAGACAATTTAGAGAATAATTTACTTAAAATGCACTACATCAATCATTTCAAATATCTTCCGCAACAGTATCGACTTTGTTTTCAACGCCGAATATAATTCAGTCGGATTTCACGCTCCAGCATTAGAGAAAAGTGTTATATAAGGAAATATTCAGTTCTGCGGCTCACTTGCTCGGTTTGAGAAAAGGCGTAAGACTCCAACGGCGTTTCCATGGCAGCAGAAATGTCACTCCTGAAGGACATGAAAAAACGATAAATGGATGGAGTAGGCAATCAGCCCACATTTGCGTGTAGAAGGCACTTTAGCAAGGAAAAATAAGGTAAGCGTGACGGAGGGACTGCCTTATTCTATTAAGAAAAAAAAACGATCGTACCCATGTGTCAAAAAGAAACAGACAGACAGCCACCTCACTTCCAGGACAGGGTGTCTTATTGGTAGTGGCTCAGCATAAACACTCACTGCTCACTAATGATTCGGATTATTCATATTTTTATGTTCCCCATCAGGTCAGAAAATAACCACAATAAAAAACAGTGAAGAATTTTGGTTGATTTGAAGACTTGATGTAATTTAAGGGAAAGTGAAGAGGCTAAGTGCATTATGCCCCCAATAAATTAAGTACATCCATCCATCCATCCATCTCCTAACCCAATGGTGGCGGGCCTGATCCATGGAGGGCCAGCTGTGGGTGTGGGTTTTTGGGATGACCTCTCAATCAGCCAATAATAAAGCAGTGGTTCTCAAGTCCTGGGGACCCACTGTTACTGGCTGATTGAGAGGTCATACCAAAAACCCGCACCGGCTTCCCATGGATCAGGTTCCCTACTCCTATTCTAACCACTTACAGTATCCTGGTCAGGGCTGCAGGGGGGCTGGAGCCTATCTTACGCAGTCTAGGGAAGTAGGCTGGGCTTCACCATGGAGGGGATGCCAGTCCATTACAGGGCACATGGTGAATATCAGTAGATCATCTGTGCAGGAATGGAGGGGGCAGACGCAGAGGTTTCTGAAGCGAGAGAGCTGATGTGGGAGGGGTAGGACAGCAATGGCAAGTGAACGCTGGTCAGCAGGGAGCAAAATCTGAGGCAGGGTAACAATGGAACACGTGCCGGGGGCTGTCTCACTGAACCGGCAGGATGTGACAGAATTACCCATCATTCCTGTTCTTGGACACCCTCCACCTCAGGCAGTGGCAGACTTTGACCCAGTTACTTTCAATCTTTCTGAAGGCCCTGGCTCTTGAGAGATTAAAGGTAGGATCCCAATATAACTGCGTTGGAAGGTCCAAAGTCACAGGGAAAAGGATTTAAATCCCTGGAATATCAGGTTTAAAGCAATTTATATATTTGATTTAATCCACCAAAAATACCTTGGATACGTCAGCAATTATCTTCTTGCCCCCCCCCCAGTAACTTCTGTCTGCATTGGGACAGCAGGTGTTATAAAAACAGGCTTGGACTGCCAGCAGATGCTGAGATGGTCAGCAGATGCTGAGGCACCCAGAACCTCAAAACGGGGGCAGTTTCAATCGTTCGGGCGAAAGGGGGGGCCACCCAGGCACCTTCAGCCCTAACCCCCCCAAAGGGAATCTTTCTAGCCATTGAAAAGATCAGAGGCTAAGTCAAGTTTACCTGAGGCTTGACTTTTTTTTTTTCAAGGAGATTAGCATCTGGGCAAAAATACTCGGGGCTCGGATTAAAATACTCGGGGATAACGATGCCCACGAGTATAGCAGAGACAGTGCTGTTTAGATAGGGAATATATTATACTAGATATCTAATGAATCTGAAGTATACAAGAGTGTAATAAAATTGATACTAAAAATAATAAATTCCAAAAAAACAAAATTAACATGAATAAAGAACAACCCCACCCCCCCATGAATTTCAAATTTCGTTGTGGCTTAAACACACAATACACCATTTAATCTGTCCCCAGACCCCAGGCCATCCCATTAGGAGACATTAGAGGCTTCTGAGTCCTCTGGATCAATGGTACGATTCACTCCGGAGGATGCAAATGTAATAACGGGATGATTTATGTGGTGCTGTCACTGAGGTGATGTACCCATGATTCCGTTTCCCTGGTCCTCTGTATCCCACAGTTGGTCATAGTGCTCAGGACATGTTCCCAAGAAAAACCTGTACAAAAGGCTTCAGTAGGTCTTTAGGAAGAGGTGCCCTGACACATGCAGTAGAATTCCTAACCACTCTTAGGTGACCTTCATCAAGGATGGGATGAGAATTTGTTCTGGATTACCATGACTGTAAATGCTAAAGTGGTTAATAGGTGGTAAATGGACAGAGGTGGATAGTTCAGGTCCAGAAAGTAAAAATCCAGACCAAGATTTAGTTTCAACCAACCAGTTGAGTATAAAGAGTCACTGTCTCAGAGTACTCAAGTGGTTGGTTGGAACAAAATCTTGGTTTGGATTTTTACATTCTGCAACCAGCCTATCCATTGCTGCAAATAAGCTACTTTACTAGGTGGGCAATAGATATCACCACATCAGCCTTCAGTAGGTGATTCCTGTTAATGCAGTAATACTGAATGCATGAGAGAGACAAATTGGCGTGGTGTGGCACCCTGTACATCTCAGTATAGGCTCTGGACCAGCATAAAAATGATTGGAGCGTTCTTCTGGAACTCCTAATATTTTTTTTCAGGTGCATCATCTTAATTGCTTAATTTTTATATTATTTGTCACTTTGGCTCGATAATAAATTTGCTCGGGTTATTTTCCAGGAAAAGCTTTAGAAACTGACACTCTACTAACAAGGATGGTCAAGTATTTGGGATAAACTCTCAATCTCCTCATACTCCTCAAGTATCCACCAGGGATTAAAAGACCAGTTGTTCTGTCTGCGGTGAAACAGGATTCGCGGGAGGCCTCTGGGCATTCTCATATTCATAACTGGGGGATTTCCCAAACGTCAGTGTAATCCTGCATCTGACAAACATTCATGAACAGGAAAACGCGGCAGAAAAGTGCAATACCCTGACATGGGCATCAGAAGCATCCCGAAGCATCCCGGCGCCGGCTGGCCTGCAGACGACGTCATCAGTACCACAGAGGACAATTCAGCAGCCAAGATTAGATTTTTAATCCCGACCACAATAGATAAGACAGCAGAAATAAGATAAATGCGCCTGCGACTGAGGAGGCGGTAATGAGCGCTTAGAGACTCTGCCCTCTTCTCTGCACAGCAGCACGGGGGCTGGCCCTGAATGCACAAGCGTGTGGAGAAGGCGAAGCTCCTCTCCCCAGTGCCCAGAGACCGGCAGCTCTGTGCCGACCCGCCACAGCCAGCAGGTGGCCAGACCTCCCCACACTCAAGACCATCAGAAACTCAACGTCCATCAGAGAGGCCTCCAGAATCAAACAACAAAACTACCGATTCTCTGTTCACTGGAAAGCCCCAATAAATCAATGAAGTGGGGATCCACAGAGATCAGTGTACAAATAATCCATCCATCTTCAACATCTATGAAGCCACGCAGTGGACACACTGGACAGGATCACAGGGCAATTTAGAGAGAATATTTCAAAACCACAGTACGTTTGAAGGAAACCTTTGCAGAACACAATGAAAATATCCTTCACACCAAAAAAAACCCACTGTCCTACACCGAGTTGCTCATTAGGACCTAGTCATCCTCTATCGTAAGCAAACAGATAAATACATTTGTAAATGTTACATATTCTTTTCATTTTGACAGATAGTGACATAATTGCATCACCTTTTTTAGTTAAAACAATAAAAGTCCTCAAAAAACATCCCATAATCTGAAACCTGCAACCTACTTGGTTCATATCTCTATGGACCATAATCCATGTTGGATCATTGACCCCCCCCCCACCATCAATATACTTTCCTTTCTGAGGACCAGGTGCTTGCAGATGGTTTATCCGAGATGTTTATTGATTGTTAAGTGCCCTGAATAATGACAAACTGCTTTTCGCCTTTTTCACCATCTGAATATTTTAGGAAATGTAATATAAGCTTTAAAGTTAGAAGACTGAAATCTATGGTTTTCTTGTCCCCTGTAAGGGATGCAGTCTCTCATCCCTAACATGCTAACGGACAACCAGCAAATCCAAAGAGAAAACTAAATCTTGGTCTGGATTTATACATTGCAGACCTGAACTTTCCACCTCTGCTCTGAGTTGAATAACCAGCTGATCCTTGATGGCTTGATGAAGATGTTAAAGAGCAGGTGAGTGAGTTTTTTAAGGATGCTATGTTTCCAGTAGCTGGTGGCCTTTGGGCTCAGTGCGGCGTAGAGATACTGCAGCTCAGAAGTTCATTGTGCGACTCTGGTTAGAGATATTTTAGCATTGCGGTTTGAGCGCCCTATCTTGGTCATATGTTGCCTCACACAATCAACACAGCCCTCCTTTGTGTGGTTGGTGTGCAGCTCAGCGGATTCGAACTCTGTGCCAGTGACCGAAAGATCAGCGGATTGAGACCCCTAATCAGCTGGGGGATCATATCACTGCTGGGCCTTTGAGCCAGACCCTTAACCCATACTTGCTTTGGAAATAGCATCAGCTAATTAAATAAAAAGGTAAACCAGTAGCTGACCCTGGATGGTATTAATGCAGGTGGTGGATCCTGGGGCAGTGTCTTCCTTCAGATTGTGCTAGAGGAACAAAAGTGTTGTCAAAGATCTGATTTCTCGATAGGCCGTTTAATATGCCTGTTTCAATGACGGATCCCCATTCACACGTATCAGTCCCAGCCCTCAGCTCTCTCACCCTACAGGAACAAAGGAACGCG